TGTGTGCTGGCCCTTTGTAACTGAGTATTCTTTATAAATTCAACCAGCTGCAGATAGAAAATGTTTGAAAAAAAAGCCCTGTACACAGACTTGTGATTTTCCCCTCCCTGATACAGTGGAGCAACTACTTCCATTGCACTTATACCATTAAGTATGACATGACGATCAAAGCATACGGGAGATGTGTGGAGTTTCGGTGCAGAGCCTACTCCATCTGTCAGAACAGACAAACACCTTCGATTTAGGTACATTGGGGTCCTGGGACAGATCCCTGTGGATGCAGAGGGCTGGCAGCAGATGGGAAAATCAGACTAGGAGTTTTCACAAAGTGAGAAAACATGTGGAACCAGAACTAGAGGAGGATGCAGAACATTCTCGGCCCCACATGCCCTCCTGGCCTTTGAGTCACAACACCTGAGGGTAACAGATCCTGGCTGTGAATACCAGGACCAGTTCTGCCTGTTTTAAACACAGTCATACAGTGTCTGTTCTTTCATGCCCAACTTCCAAAAACCACTGTTTTGTGCATTTGTGTCTGTGTGTGGAGTATATGTATGTACATGTTCCTGTGTGTGCATCTATGTTTGGAGACCTAAAGTCAACATTGGGTGTCTTTCTTGGCATAGTTCCACCTTATTTTTTGAGACTGGGTTTGTCACTGAACCTGGAGCTCGCTGATTGACTAGGTTTGCCAGCAAGCTCTGTGGATCTGGCTATCTCCACCCCTCCAGCCCTGGGGTTTCAGGCGCAAGCTGTTGTACTTGGTTTTTATGTGGGCCCTAGGGCTCTAAACCAGATAGATCCTCAGGTCTATACAGCAAGCACTCCTACTGAGCCATCTTCCCAGCCTCCGAAACTCTTTTTAATAGTTCTCCTCATCTTTGGTTCCATACTCTTCACTTCTGATGTGCCAGGAGACGTGGGGTCAGTCTGTCTGCCTTCCCCTCCTTCTCACATTCAGACTCACATACTTAACTCTGGACTCCTTGATGTCCACTTCGGCCTTGACAAAATCACTTGCTCTTTCAGTTCTGCCTCTCCACCTCCCCTGTCACCATCAGATCCCAGGCTACAAGCAGCCTACATCTGGGGTACCTTGAAAAGCCAGACATAGTGGTGCTTGCCTTTACTTCTAGCAGTCAGGAGGCAGAAGCATGTGGATCTCTGTGAGATGGAGGCCAGCCTGGTCTACATAGCATGTTCCAGGGAGACAGTGTCTCAAAAACAAAAGCTGCTTGAGGGACTGGGGATGTGACTCAGTTGGTAGAGTGCCTGCTTAGCATGCACAAGGTCTTGGGTTTGATTCCCAGTACCACATAAACCAGGATGGTAGAACATGTTTATAATCCCAGCACTTGGGAGGCAGGAGCAAGAGGATGAGGGGTTCAAAGTTATCTTTGGCTAAATAAAAAGTTCAAGATCATCCTGAGGATACATGAGATCCTACCAAAAAAAAAAAAAAGAAAGAAGAAAGTAAGAGAGAGAGGGAGAGAGGGAGAGAGGGAGAGAAGAAAAGAAAAACTGTTTGTTGCACCAGCTCTCTGCCCAAGACTTTACACTCCATGAGGACCCAGATGAAGTTTCTGTGGCCACTTGCTTCCCCTAGCATACATTAGACATTCAAGAAACAATCATTGAATGAATGAATGAATGAATGAGAAATGAATGTATGACTAGATTAACACACTGTCATACTGTCATCAACCCTTCAAAGCAGGCTGGTGCAAATTCTCTGAAACAGGCCTCCCCGCATGGTTCACTGAGCAAATATACATGTAGCAATACCAGCATTATCAGTCAACCCAGTGCCTCTGTCAAGAGCATAGGAAAAGAAGGCACCTCAGGACTGAGTGCTACTGGTCCCCCTGAGGCAGGGGGAGAGCTGGTTGCTGCCACCACAGGCAGAGTGAGATCTGTGCTATGAATTTCAAAGAAAATCCATCTCCCAGGGCCACCCCTGATCTTCCCTATACCATGCTGCAACAAAGAGGAAATCACAAGAACAAGCAGCAGAAAGTGTGGGAACACAGTCACAGACTCTGGGGGAGCCCTCAGAAGCTTTCAGACAAAGAAGGGGGACAGATGTATGGCACAGTGTGGTTGTGACCAACTCTAAGCACCTGACCCTCCCTGGGGCCTCACATTTTCTCCACTCCAGGAAGCATGACTTGTAGCCTCAGGTGGCTTGGCCTGGGCATATGCCCCACTCAACCATGACATGAAAGCACTTACTGTGTCATCTAGTAAACTGGCATTGTCATGAATGCAGCAGATGTTACCGACCCCTGATTGAATTCAGAGTATACCAGAGGAGCTTTGTGGAAACCACAGCCAGTCACTGGACACGGGAAGGTTGAGAGGTGGCTCAGCCTCTCCTTTCCCACCCTGCTCTGTGTTGCCTTGGTGGGTCTTGACACCTGGTGACAATAAATCAATAGCTTTGTTGGGCCACAACCTGGAATCTTTGCTTATGATCAAAGCAGGAGCAAGATCATTGACCTCAGAAGTCTAACAAATGGCCAGACAGCAAAGGTCAGAGCTGGCAGAAACCCCTGATTCTCACTACAGGACTATCTTTGATCAACAGCAAGGCCCCAGCCCTACCCAGCCCTGCAAGCAGACACCTGCAGCCAGGCCTGTCTGCATGAGTCAGTGGGGGTGTAGAATGTTCTGTATAGCTGAGCTTCTGTACTGCACTGAATTCCGTCCTTGCTTGGATTTTGAGATTAGGTCACATGTAACAGACTGACCTCAAACTCACTTTATGACCAAGGATAACCTTGAACTCTCAACCCTCCTACTTCTACCTTTCAAGTACTATTATACACATGAGCCATCACACTTGGTTTATGTGGTGGTGCTGGGGACCAAACCCAAGACCTCATGCATGTTAAGCAAGCACTCTGCAGTAAACTAAGCTATACCTCCAGCATTCAAGGCCTTTGAGTCTGCTGATCACACTTCTCCCTTGACCTTCCCAAACATGACTGTATTACCCAGATATTCTCCAGTGGTGGAATCCTCATGAGAAGAAGCAGTTCAGAACTCCAGAGGGCACCACAGTGCAGCACTGGGTGTCATAGCTGCACAAGGCCTGCTCAGCTCTCCTCACTGACCCTGGGACTCGGGATGGCTATTCTAATCAAGCACCAATGACAGCTGTGCACTTTTCAGTTTTACCACACCAAGTTACCTCCACTGTGTGACCCTACCTCCCAAAGAATGCTTAGGGGGAAAGTTGGGCGTCCAGGAACGGAGACTCCATGTTCTCCCAAAAGGTGCCTCTGGTCCCAGCTCTGTTGTCTCTGTCCTTGGTGGAAGAGGTCAGATGATGTCATGACAGAGCACACTGTCAAGAGGATTTGGAGAGCAGGAAGTTGATGGGGATAAGCGGATGGAATGCAGGCAGGGTGAGCAAGGAGGCTCTGGGTGTCTTGCTAGGTGTGGAAATGAATGGCCAAGCTGTTAATTGTCCCAAAAGCTGGCGTTATAACAGCTGCTGTCGAATAAGTGTCCTCATGGAGAGTGGCAGCTGTGATGACATCAGCAGGTACATGCAGGGCTTCCCAGCTGCTCAACCTCGCATGGGACAGCAGAGCTGTCATCTACCTCGGGGAATGGAACGAAGAGAGTGAGGTGTTAATGCAGGAAGCATCCGGTCACAGAGGCCCTTTTAAAGGGACAGTGATGGATGGAGTGGTGTGGCTCTAGGAGCCAGAGGCTTCTGCACAGAAAACCCCAGGGTGGGCTCAGGGCACAAAAGTTAACATGCACTCCTGCCAAGAAGCCCGAGCTGTGTGTATGCATTCCTTTACTCACTCTTCTGCCATGAAAATATGCTTCTAATTTTAACAGAGTACAGCCACACAGTGAAATAAAAGATCTTTAAGTAGCTTATGTTAAAACTCTCTGGCCTGGTGCCCAAAGCTTCCCTACATCATAGAGGAAGTTACAGTCTGCTTTTAAAGATTGCTTTCTGGTGTTGATTTCTGTATGTCTATGTACCACGCTATTGTGACACTTCCTGATTAGGAGATTATTTAGTTTCTGCTACAGTAGGCAAGAGGTTGCTCCCTTGCAGCCCCCGAGCCTCTCCTTCCCACACGGTTGACATTCCTGATATGAGGTGCATATTGCTGCTTCCGAGTCCAGCAGTTCCCCACCCCCACCCCCCAGCCAGCATGCCCGTCCTCATACTGCTGCTAGGTTTGCTTTTGTTCTGGAGCTAAATGTGGCTTTGTGCTTTTACTTCTTCCATTTTCTGTGTAATTCCTGATAACATTTCTTAAAGTTAAGACAGGTGTTAAACGCCTCAAAATGTTCCCAAGTATTCAAATCCCTTTTTTCTTATAGAGATTTTTGAGCTTTTCTTGGTTCATTTGGGTTTGGTCCTCTGTTTACAAAAGTTGATTTTCTACAGACTTCTCCCTTATTTCATTAAAGTACACTATACAGTAGCTTTAAAACACCCAAAAGGAAAGTATAACCAAAGATTAAAGGGGCCGATATAATGAAATTGAGTCCATATGTATAGGTAAAGGCTACATAACAAGCAACAATGCCAGACAGGAGATACCTTCTGTTGAGTTGTTGGCCAGGGTGGCCAAAGGGACTCCCAGATAGTAACCCAGCATAGAACTGGGAAAATGAACAGCAGACCCCAATCTTATCTAAAGGAATATTGACGACTGATTACCGCTATATGAGGAAAAGCTGACCCTCCTAAAACAAAGACCTCTAGATAGGCCGACTAGATTCACCAGAAGGGCAAGCAGTGGGGAATGGCTGGGGGTGCCAACAACACAGCAGACAGGAGCAGGGATATCAGAGTATAAGGGCTCTAGTGGGGTGAGGGAGGCTATGGGAGGGTGCTATCTGGGAAGTAGGTGTAAAAATAAAAATTTTAAAAATGTAATAAATTTCACTTGAAAAAAAAGTGTTTGGAGGAAAGAGAAGAAACATAGACGTAGGAAATAGATCGATAGATAAATATTGATAGACATGATTTATAAATAAGTAGGTAAATAGATTATAGATAGATATTTACAGACTTGCTTGGTAGATAAGTGGTAGATAATAGATGATAAACTATGGATAATAGGTGATAGGTAATAGATAGTAGATGGTAGATGCATAGATAATAGATGATGAATAGGTAGGTAAGTAGATGACAGGTGATTGATAGTAGACAGATCATAAACATAAATTATGGATGATATATAGATATGGATAGATACCAGATAGGTAGGAGATAGATGACAGATTATAAATATATAAAGGACAGATGATTGGTAGATGGATAGATGGTAGACAGACAGACGTTACTTTGTGTCTTGTAAACATCTATAGTCTCCCTTCCTTGACCAACTCCTACCAATTCACCTTTACTCTCACAATGTTCTTTCCAGTGGGTACAACGCCATCTGATTTCTAAGAACATGGATTACTGTTTTCTAGGTCTCTGGCTCCCTGCTTGTCTCTTCTCTGCTACATACCTGCTTTGCTTTCTGATTTTTGCTCTTCTGAGTCTCCATCTTCTATGAGATGTTTTCCACAGGATCTGGTGATCCCCAGCTGTTCATTCCTAGTTTATAAATTGCATCATTAAACACTGATTGGAACCTGAGCAGTGGATGTGGGTGGATGGGTCTCCAGACTGATGGAGAAAGATCCAGTCTCCTGTGAGGACGCAGCAAATGGCATCCCTTAGTGGCACTGTCCCTGGGGAATGGTAACTCTGCAGTGTCCCCTGAGGTGAAGGCAGGGTTCCTTGGTTTCTGTCTAGGTGAAGCAAAAGCCAGCCCCTTCTGCTTGGCCTTTCAGACTCATTCTCAAAGCCCTACCTTCTCTGTGTGAAATTCACTATCCCTAACCTAGGGAGAATTCACTGTCCCACCAAAAGATATGTCCCACATGCTTACAGCCTAGATTGTGTCTTGTCCCACCTCAAATTCAAATGTCAAAGTCCTAACCCCAATATGTGTGAGAAGATGAATATAGTTAGATACAGGTTTGTTGAAAGCGCATTTAGCTATGAAGATATTATTGGCTGGGTCCTAACTGTTGTTCTTATAGAAGAGGGAATTTTGAACATAGACATGCACAGGCTCAGAGAAACACTGTGTGAAGATTGAAGTCACACTGCTGCAAACCAGTGACCCAGCAGAAATCGGAGAGAAGCCCTGTGCAGATACCTCATAGGCCTTCAGGATTCATCTTGGACTTCTGGTGTCTGGAACTGGGGATCCCTGTAGTTTTGGCCACTTGGTATGATACTTTATGCCAGGCAGTCACAAGCCTTACAGAGCAGAGGCAGGAGCTGCAAGGCCCCAGGTCCCCTTGCTGTGAGCCCCGGGTGATGGCTGACCAGCTCCTAAGGAGTCAGCAGGAGCCTGGTCAGTGTCTGCTCAGCAGCCTCACTTACAAAATGTGTTAAGATGGGGAGCTGGAGAGATGGCTCAGAGGTTAAGAGCACTGGCTGTTCTTGCAGAGGACCTGGGTTCAGTTCCCAGAATCCACGTGGTGGCTAGCAACCATCTGTAAATCCAGTTCCAGGGGATCCAAAGCCCTCTTCTGACCTCCATAGGCACTGCAGACACAGGTGCACTTACATACACACAGGCAATACATTCATACACAGAAAATAAAAATAATAAATGAAATATTTTTAAAATGTGTTAAGATGCTCTGTGTGTGTGAGTATTCTCTCTCTCTCTCTCTCTCTCTCTCTCTCTCTCTCTCTCTCTCTCTCTCTCTCGTTAATAGAGATTTCATCCCTTTCCTGTTACATTAGTGGGGCTATTTTATCCAGCTTTCATTAGCATGGAAAAATACCTCCAGTAATCAACTTACCTGTTTTGGCTCAATGTTCTAGAGGTTTCAGTCCATGTCACATGGCCCTGTGGCTTTGGGTGTCCAGTAGCATGGTGCATTGCAGTTGGGTTATGATGTTTACTTCATGGTGTCTCTAAGCAAAAAGAAAGAGGAGGGGTCAGAGTCCCAGCATCTACTTCAAGGGCACATTGCCATGTGACTGCCTTCCTTATACTAGACCACACCTCCTAAATGTTCCAGCTCATCCCAGTGAAGTCATGAGCTAGAGATCAAACCCACTTTTAGACATGGGCCTGGGGTCATGCAAACTATAAAGGGTTAGGAGACACAGGCCCCTGAGTGTAGCTATCTGTTCTCCCTAGCTGGAAGACACCTCTGGTCTTTGCAATATAAATCCTCCTATGAATTTAGTTAGAAGTCTTGCCTATGACTGTGACTAGACACACCTCCTCTGAGACTGTCAAAAGTATTAACATTCAACAAGTTACCTTCCTACAGATAGAAAGAACCTTAGGATAAATTCCATTAAAGCTCTTTAATTCCTCAATCCAGAAGGCAGGGTTTCATGTCTCTTCCCTTCTGTGAACAGCAACTGCTGTCTCCCTTATGACTAGTCAATCCATGGAAAAGTAAAATAGTCACTTGACAGCAGAGAAACTGGGCAGACACAAATGGACCAAGAGATGGAGGTCAAACAGCTTGGTGTGGTGGCACACACCTTTAATTCCAGCTTTTAGGAGGCAGAGGCAGATGGATCTCTGTGAAATCAAGGCCAGCCCAATCCACATAGCAAGTTCCAGGCCAGCTGAGACTACAGGGAGACGCTGTGTCAAACAGGAGAGAGAGAGAGAGAGAGAGAGAGAGAGAGAGAGAGAGAAATCAAGACCTCTGAAATGAATCAGTGGGTGTCGTGTGTGCCCTGGTATGAAACCGGGAGAGCTCGTATCTGTGTTTCCCTTCCCAAATCCATAACCACAACTCAGTCTGAAACCCTGCCAAGCATGCTCATTTGGGGAGGAATCCCACAGGATCACAGGCCAGAGCTTTTCTAAAGTGCTAAGGGGACTAAGGGGAAGAAAAGATCCAGGAACCGCCAAAGGCTGAAGACCAAGGACTGCAATAGCCAGTCTGGGATCCTGGAAAGGAAACAGTGGGGAGGAGGGTGCTCAGCAAACCTGCAATTCCATCACAGTATTTCACCAATGAGAAAGTGCTGAGATGCTTTTCAAGTTGTGTGTGTGTGTGTACATGAGTGTGTACATGTTGTGGATGTATGTGTGCCCATGTGTGTGGAGAACAGGAGACAATCTCCAGTATGATTTGAGTCAGATCTTCATTGGCCTGAAGCTCTCCACTTGGGCTAGAGCCCAACACCGAATCACGAGCTTGCACCACCACACCTGGTTGTTTTACGTGGGCCTTAGAGATCAAAATCAGACCCTTATCCTCGCAAGGCAAGTACTTTACCAACTGGGCTATGTCTCCAGCCTCTTTTTTAAAGTTTTTTTTTAGCATATGTTAATTATGCACAGTGATGGGTTTCATTATGCCCTTTCTACACATGTACATAATATATTTTGATGATTTCATTCCTTATTACTGTTTCTTGTCCCTCTCCTGCTCTCACAGATTCCCTTTCCCCAGACGATCCCTTTCCACTTTCACAGGGTATTTGTTTTTGGTGACCCAATGAATTTAATTAGCGCTATTCACAGGAGTATGCATGAGGAGTTATTTACAGTAGCTCAGGCAACTTATACCTCACTGAAGAAAATGTCTCTCTCTCCCAATATACAAAAATTGCCTTCCAGATCCTCAGGGAGGAGAACGGCCTTGTGAGTCCCTCCCCCATCCATGACAGAGACATCCAAGGGCTCAATCTTGTACAAGTCTTGTGCAGGTAATCACAGCTGCTGAGAGTTTAAAACACTGGGTTTTATCAAATAGATTGTGGATACGAAATGTCTTAATGTTGAGAAAAGCTGGATGAAAGTCTACATGCAAATCCACATACACATGCTTGTGCATATGCAAATTCTATCATTAAAACACGTCCAAAGATTGAAAATTATTTCACAACATGATGATGAGAAACAACCTGGGCTTAGGCTCTCATCCCTCTTCTAGCCAACTGAGCTGCTCCTCATACCCGGCCCCAGCAACCAGCCGCATCTCCCTCCTCCATACACCCAATTGTCCCACGTTTTCTTGCCATTGTGGCCACATGTCTGCTTTGGGTGCAAAGCTTCTGGTGCTCCCCCAACCCTTTCATTGCTGTCTCCACAGGGATAAGGCACACATAATAGGACCTTTGGGGTCTTCTACCCTGCCTCTTCCCATCAGTGGGCTGCTCTCTGCATCCTGGCAGCTCCCTTCACCTGCCCTGAAAGAGTCTTTCTCCATTAACTGTCAGCTTCTGGAGCTTCTTCTTCTGAGCTCCTGGGCTCTAGTTCCTGCCTGTTGCCTCCATCAGAACACTCACTGACATGCTCTTTTCTTATTTCTGCCTGCCGCCCAGATGCCCCAAGTTCCATGAAGTCATGGGCACCCCACTGCTTTCACAGGACCCCCTCATCCACTTCTGCATCCTGATGAACGTGTATGGTATTTGCACCATGACTGCTCAAATATGTTGAGTGGAGGGATGATGGCGCCCAGTGCTGGAGGAGACCCTGCTGTCCCTTGATCCCCCCTCTGGCCAGGGGTCAGTTGGGATCCTGTCAGGAATCCCTTTCATGGTAAAGTCAGGGAACAGCCACAGAAACAATGGACAGAGTGGAAGGAGCTGAGTGCAGACCGCCTGTGTGCACCTGTGGTGTGTCTGCACAATATGTGGTGTGTGTAAGTGGTTGGGGGCTTCTAATGTGTATTTGCTGAACATCTCCCTTGGTACATGTGTGCCATGTGTTTATAATGTATGAACGTGTATAGTATGTATGCTGTGTGATATTGGTACATTTTATTTTATTTTTTTATTTTATTTATATTTTTATGTGTATTAAGTGTATTGCCTGCATGTGTGTAAGTGCACCTGTGTCCTGCCATGCCCACAGAGGTCAGAAGAGGGTGTCAGATTTCCCTGGAACTGGAGTTACAGAGGGCTGTTAGCCACCGTGTGATACTGGGAATTGAACCTGGGTCCTCTGCAGGAGCAGCCAGGGCTCTTAACCACTAAGCCATCTCTCTAGCCCTGATCTTGGTGCATTTATAACACTGTATGCTATGTGTGTGGCCTGTTTGAACTGCTTATTGTGTGTCAGATATGTGGGTATGTGTATTAGTTACTTTTCTGTTGCTGTGATAGAAATACCATGACCAAGGTAACTTATAAAAAGGAAGAGTTTATATAACTTAAGTTCCAAATGGGCAAGATTCCATCACGGCAGGGAGGCACGGAAGCAGAGGTGGCTGGGGAAGGAGCAGAAGCTAAGCACTCATATCTTTAAGCAGGCACAGGAAACAGAGCAACTGGAGATCTGACAAGGCTTAAGAACTCTCTAAGCCCACCCCCAGTGATGTGCTTCCTCCAGCATGGCCACAACTTCTGAGACCAAAACAGCAGAACCAACTGGAGAAAAAAATTCTCAAATACTTGGAGCCTACGAGAGACATTCTCATTCAAATTACCACAATATGTATGTGGTAAGTCTGGAGATATGTGAATGTTGTGAAGTGTGTGTTTGTGGGATCTATGTGGTGTGTATAAGGTGTGCAGTATCTGTTGTATGTGTAGTTTGTGTAACAGTGTACAAATATGTGTGCCTATTGTTATGGTATGTATGTGAGGGGTCATACATTATGAGGTGCATTCATATGGACACTTGTGCACATGCACACGCATGCATGTACACATACACTTGTCATACAGACACAGAATCACACACATACACAGATGTTTTTGACTTGGACCCAGCCAAGGAATTGTTAAAGAGAAACTCCAGGCGACATTGGCAGCTGCCTTCCCTGGGCCCTTTATGGAAAAGGCCAAGCAGACTCCAGGTGAACAGACAGCTCAGGCCCCAAGGGGCATTCTGGCCTTCATTCTGGCTACTATTGATACTGGGCACACAGGACTGAAGCTCTCAGACATAGCCTGAAACTGGGCCACAGGAACATTTGCCCCACACCATGTCTGGAGGGCAGAGACTGAAGACATGCTGACCCAGTGCCTTTGCTCAGGCACACTGATAAACGGCAGCCTGCTCACAAATTGAAACTGCCCTTTAGAATGTTCCAGACGGCCAGTCCCTGAGGTTAGTCAAGAGATAACAGTTAGTAAATGTTCTGGCCATGTTCCCAATGCTAATAAAATAGAAACCGACTCTCATGCTGATCTGAGTCTGGATGCTAATTCATTCTTTTATCACTTAGAAGTGTCTCACATTTGTGAAATCAGAATTGCACACTAATGAGCACTGTAGACAAAGGCCAGCAGCAGGTGCTGGACACACAGGGTCAGTCACTTCACTGTGACATGCTCAGAACAGAAATGCATCGCACAGCTAGGAAGGAAGGGCAGTTTGTATCTGCAAACAAGAGTGCTCTGATATTGTCCTAGAAACAGAAAGCCCAAAGCCCACAGAAAACACGTATTTGTCATTGTGAAAAATAATAAAACAGTGTCTAAAAAGTAGATAGTGTGTTTCCATTCAAAGCTTCTTGCATCCAATCAGAAATAAGCACACCTAGCACTTTCCAATAAATTGATAAATTGATTTATTTCCCTTTTCCTTCCCTCCCTCCTTCCTTCCCTTCCTTCCTTCCTTCCTCTCTCTCTTTCTTTTTCTTCATAGTACTAGAGATTAAATCAGGGCCTTACGTGCTAGGCAAGTGCTCTACCATTGAGCTACATCCTCGGCCCTCTTTTTACTTTAAAATATTGATTTCTCTTTGTGTGCATGTATGTATGATGTGTGTATTTGTATGTTAGTATTGTGCACATTCCTGTGTGTGTGTGTGTGTGCACGTGTGCACATGTGAGTCATTGTGAGCACCTTATTTAAAACAGGATCTCTGGTTGAACAGACTATCTGGCCAACAGGCTTCTAGAGATTCTCCTGTCTCTCCAACTCCATGTGGAAGAACACTGGGATTACAGATTCTTATGCTACGTATCTGGCTTTTACATGTGTT